CGTCCACGTATCCCCAGGGATGTGTCCCTCTGTTAATCTAAAGACCTTCACCCCGCCTTGTGCAGAACCCCTGGTTTTCTCCCCACCGGCCTTTTCTAGTTGTTTCAGCATTGTAAGACACGAGGAAGATCAGGCTGGACAAAGCTGCCTCATCCACTGAGCTGCCAGCAAGCAAAAGTAATGCAGATCTCCACTTCCCCTCCTTCTGCTGGATCTCGTCGGGTCGCAATCGCTATTAAGCCCAGCTGGGGAAACCAAAGCATTCAGAAGTTGACTGAGTCATCTAAAGCAACAAAGATCGGGAGCAGCAGGCTGCCACACAGCTCTGGAAAAGTCCCCTTTAAAACACTAAATCCCTGGAATGAAGGGCCGCGTTGACTCATCCGTGAGACTGTCTTAATGACACAGACGAATTCACCCCAAACTGCAGGGCCAGTTCACAAGGAAGGGTTAACAGGAAGGTGGTGGGAGGGAGCAGCACCACCTGGGTTTGAAAGCAAGCTACCAAGAGAGATCCAGGCGGGCAGAGCGGAGGGCACTGTAGTGTTAGAGCTACTCAGAGCTTCAACATCAAGTCTTTGGCTTCTCGGGCCTCCTCACACTCACCCTGTAGAGATTTCCCTGATCAGCCCTTAACAGCAGGACCCATCTTTGAAGTCCGTGGCCCAGCTATGTCTGCATAAGCAGTAGCAACATCAGGCTCGACATGCATTGGGCAAAGAAGCAAAAGAAACATCCCACAAACTCTTTCAGCTCTGTTTCAAAAGGCTTGGAAGTTCCTCCCCTTCTCTTCCCCTAGCCCCTTCCAGAAAAGCTTTGCATGCAGAGCAGCGTCTCTTGGGTCCCTCATTCTCTTGAGCAAAGTAAACAGACCTCCCGTGCAGCGACAAATGAACAACAAACAGAGGGGGAAGGAAAAAAAAAGAAAAATCTCGCTGCCAACTTAGAGAGATTTTTTTTTTTTTGGGGCTTGTTTAGTTTTTCAAAAAAAATTAAAATGTGCAAGCTATGCCCCAAGGGTGACCCTGCACAAAGCCTTCTGGCAGCTCCAACGTCCTCCACTCCCTCCTCACATCACCACAGACACCCCATCTCTCCCCATGCTCTTCCCCTGACACACACACACGCATACGGAACCCTAAGAATCGTGGCACCCAGATGGCTTTTTCTTTTTCAAGCATGCCAAAACAAGCTAAGCTCCTAAATCCCTTTTAGAATCTGGCCTTGTGTGGAAATGTGTTTGCTTCTATCCTAAGTTTATTTTCTTTTGTTTTCAGGTTTGTTAGCCCAAGGGCAAATGTTATTCCTCACACCAGTTTTGGGGTTGGGGATTTTTTTTTTTTGTTGTTGTTTTGGGGTTTGGGCTTGGTTCTTTTTTTTTTTTTTTTTTTTTTTTTTTAGTATTTATCTTTCAATCAAGTGTTCCTCCTTGCAAGGATAAACAGGATGTTTAGAGACTCTGGGTAGGATGACCAGTCTTTGACAGCTGTTGTGACACACCACACACTTGGTTTGCCATGTGTGCAAGCACTGGCACAGCTTGATCTGCAGCAGGCTCTCTTCATTTGAGGAGGTGGACGACATGACCTAAGAAGCCTCCACCGGCTCTATGTTTTCAGCACAGGCTCATGGGGAAACTCACCACATGATCCAGAACAACTCCCTGGCCTCTCCCTCCACTTGTGAGGGTATCATCTGCCCGCCCCGCAGCCGTTCCCTTTCTAGTCAGCTCATTTCACTTGCTCAGCTACACTAAACTATGCTCTGACTCTGAGAAATTTTTCTTTTCCAGGTACATACAGACAGACAACAGTAAAAATACTTCTAAACCACACTGATTCAACAGAGGGAGTTCCCCGAGCCTTTTTTTTTTTAGGAAATAAAGTTTTCCAAGCCTTGAATCACTAACATTGGTCTGACTCCTAAACCAAGAACTTTAGAAAATTATTTGTAGATGGCACTAAGGGCCAGATCCCAAGTAAGACCTACCTACCTAGAATTACCGTGTGTGGCCTCAGGATGCTCTCTACAGTCCTACTCACCACAGAAGAAAATGCAGTGCCTAATTCTGCCCTGCACAAATTCTCCAAAATTTTATTTACTTTTCATTTGCAGCATTTACTAACAGCTGAAGGCAAGGAAAGGTTAAGAGACTGATAATTAGTCCTGGTTAGTAATTAAAAACAGTTAGTTTTGCACCAGGCCCTAGCTACTCTGTTCCCAGGCCACAGAAGAGTGACTGTGACATACCTCCTGAATTCTGCAAGCTGGGTGTGTCCACACCACTTTGATAAACCAGACTAGAGACAAAAAGCTAAATTCTGTCTAAACAGCCATAAATCACTCCAAAAGAAATGACTCAGCCAGGATGTCATCTCAACTAGACTAAAACCTTTTGCATTTAAAGAAAATAATGTTTATAAAAATCACCTCTCTTCTCTACAAACACATGATTCCTAAACAGCAACGCTCAATTTTCCCCATTACAACCACTTTAAGAAATCCAGAGGACAGATGACAACACGCTGCTGACTTTCATGCTGTTTGGGCCCAACTTATTCAAGGAAACTTCTTCTTGCAACGCTTGTCAAGTTCAAGCCTTGGAATCCATTCCAGGTAACATTCAACCGCAAGCTTCTGGCCTACGCACAGTAACTACGGCATGAAATTTTATGGTCTGTGTTATTCAGGAGGTCAAAAGGGATTATCACAATGTTCCTTTTTAGCCTTGGTACCTATGAGCCTTGGCATGTAAGCCACTCTGGAAAGCCATTCTCAGACAACTGTTTTAAATTGGACTCTGAGCAGTCCTTGAACTCTACTTCAGGAGAAAGCAGCATTGTCAAGATAACGGTTTTACAGCTTTCAGTCCTCCTAGCAAAAATAGTGCTTGCTTTGTGTACCTTGCCCCATTTCACACACTAAGCAGACATCCTCTATCCAAGCCTTACTGCTCTCTGCAAGCCGTTCCACAAACACGCCAGAGCTGAAGAAGCAGTAGTCTGTCCTACACCCTGAAAATTTAAATAAGTAAAATAATTTTCCTGAGGGAAAAAAAAAAAAAAAAAACAAACCCTCAACTTTGATGTAATTGGGATAACCTGGATGGAGCAGGAATTCCCCAGCCATGAAGACATTTTCCACAGCGAGATGGCCTTGGATAAAGCAAAGAACATTTTCCTACTGTTTCATTCATTCAGAAGTGCTAACGACAGTCAGTCAACAGTGGATCAAATCACTGAATACCCCTTTTTGTCACCAGATGCAAAATTTGGGGGTTCCAGTATGGGAGCAGGTATCAGAAGCTCGGGATTACCCATTCTCAGGCATGTTCAGCCATGAAAGCGAGCCATCTACCCTCCCTGTGACTTGCCTTTCCTTTGCGCAGAGCAGGAGTATGTGCTAAATGGATTAGCATACACCTTTTCTGGAATCCACCACAAGGTTGTACGTACTTCTTTCCTATAATTTATTTTATTTTATTTAGCCTTTTAACCACCAGTAGGCTGACAAACAGGGAATGATGCACAGGACCGTAAAACCAACCGCTGATGTGCAGGCAACACTTAATCTTTGTCATAATGTGCCTAACACACACAGGTTGGAGCTACCACAGCTTTGTGTCTTACCACCGAGCTGCACTATACCCCTTTCTACTTCAAGGAACTGCGAAGACAAACATTTGCATCCTCTGAGGTCACACAGCAAGGCTCAGGTGACAAGTGGCTACAAGAGAGAGGAACTTTGTCACCTGTAGACACCCACGCATTCTTCTTCTCCACTTGGAGCAACAAGGAACCTGTCCCTAGCACCCAACCAAGCTCGACCTACAACACAAAACTCCTTTCAGTGCTGTACCGTTCGGAGAGCCCCTTCCACAGTCACTTCACTGCCTCTGCAATTCATTCTGGTTTGTTTTTAAAAATAATAAATGCAAGCAAACAAAAACGCAATTGCATTGTTCCTCTAAAGCGTACTGGCATTGTTGGGACAACGCTCATCGTAGCCGGATACCTTTCTCCTCCGGTGTGGCCAACACAGTCAGTTGTGAATCTGCTGACTGTTCCAGCACATTACTCTCTTTGGGGGGTTGCACACGTTCAGAGGGGAAAGAAACCGCGTTCAGTGTCTCCCTTGGACGTCAGAGAAGCCAGCAGCTGCAGAGGTGTGCACGCCAAGTGCGCGACGTGGCTTCTCCTGCGCCACAGTGAACATCAGCCCCTTCAACCAAGTCATTACTTTGGTCCTTGGAGAAGTTATTCACACGTATATCCAAATCCTTGGCCCCCAGGTATGGCTGCTGACCCAGCCAAGGACAGCTCGACACCTCTGATAGCAGGGCTAGATGTGACCTCATAGGATCTGCTGATCCCTTGCATCACCCAAAATAAACATCAGGATGTGCTGGAAGGAGCACAACTCAGCGAACAAAACTGCATAAATCTGAGTCCTTGTCCTAGTTTCACCACTCACTTACGGTACTTCTCTCTGTTACATGAAAGAATCTCTGCCTTCATATTCAACTATCGTCTTCGTTATCTTCTAGCCCACCTGTACAGTTTGGGGGATGGGATTTGTGAAGTAGTGAAGCACCAGATCGTATTAAACACAGGCACTTCCTCAGAAACGCAGGCCAACACGGGACTGGGAAAGACTCAAGATCTTTTTAATCCCACTTCCACGTCAATCAGGTGCATTAAAGCAAAATAATGGTGGGTCAGGGGCTTCAAATATTATTTTTTGAATCTTACTTTAATTTCACAGCAATACTATTTTAGAAGTAGCTGGTAACATTGCCCTCTTAAACAGTTTAAGTATCTGCCAGAATTTGGTTGAAGCAACTTCATACAGATATGGGCAGACTCATCCCTCTATTTCTTCCCTCTTGTGCCACTCCAGACAGAAACCTGTCTTGAACATGAGCTTGAAATTAATCACCCACGAAGAAATCACAGAGTAGCAAAGCATGATAGACCTACCCAGGGGCTTCTGATACTCACTCAGCCTACAGCGTATTTGGGACCGCAGATAAACTCCTCTCAGCTTGGGTCCTCAATGCCAGACAGAAGCTGGTGACTCCAACCTCTCCCAAGGGCCATAACAGGGAAGGGAGAGAAGCTGATGGTTAATGTATCTCTTGCTGTTACACCTAACACATGGAATATGGCCTCGCTTATCCACAACTATCACATACCTGACTGTTTGCTTGCTCAAGGCTGACCAACAAGTTCGAAAGATGTATCTTTTTCATTTCATCTTCACCATGGTGAAGAAGCTGGAGTTAACCTATATTGGAGGTGACCACAAAGGAAAGTGAAGAGAAAATAGCAAACTTCTTAATATTATATTGTAGGAACAAAGCCCAAGCCCCAGTATGATCAGCTCCACACTGAGCTGGGAGTTTGAGAAACAGCCTCTTAAAAAAAAAAAAAAAAAAGAAAAAAAGGAGGGGAAGGGGAAGAAGGCTGCATACAGCAGAGGAGAGACCCTTGTGTCTAGACAAATTCAGTCATACTACTTCAAAACTGCAGGTCAGCTCCTGATTTAACCTGGAGTTTCACATGTCACTACAAAACTCTGGAAGTGTTGGCTTTGCAGATATTCCAAACATATGAACTGTTTTCAGTGAAGTCAGTATTTTTCCACATCTACTATTGTAACTCTGCTGGCAGGCTGGGAGTAGCAAATCCCCCCTTATCTCCCTCCTCTCTGGGAGCATCTCTCTGTTTAAGCACCAGCTTAGATAATCATGCACGATCCCCCTTGAAAACTGGACAAAGGGGGGGGCGGGAGAGGCACTGGGATTGTAAGCAACAAACCACAGAAGGAGATGGACTGTTGTGCAGGAGGGAAGTAGCAGGGGGAAAGAGGTGACTAATGAACAGAAGGGGGTGCGTAAAATCCTACTTGGATTGCCTCTCTGGGGAGCAGCTGTTTCCTTGTAAACATCTTGCTAGCTGTCCAAACAAGAAGTCCAGACACAGAACAATAAAGGAGAGCACCCGGGTAGAAGCGTTCAAGGCATGGGCTCATTCACTATCCTGCCAATTGCTCCAAGTGGCAGAAATCAAAACCCGGGGAAACATTAGCCATGCGTTTAACCCTGCATGTGCTGGTGTTATAGCCAATGGCCTGCAGAAACACATCCTTGTCTACCTGTGGTAAATTCCTAGCCCTCCTCTTCCCCCACCACTTCTGATACAACAGCAGAGCACGTTGCTTGACAAAGGAAGGGAGGAAATATCCTCATCAGAGCAAGGAGAAACAGCTGCGGAGCCAAGAAATGAAAAACCTGAACGTGGCAGCCCTGAAGACTTAGAAAAGTTCTACCCACTGCCCTGGCATCAGCAGCTTGGAGGTAGAGGGACTGGAACCAGAAAAAGTAAAAAGAGTCTTTTTATTAGTCCTGAGCACAAAACAGCCTACGCTGGCAGAAGCACTGCTGTGCCAATACAACTGTGTCCACACAGGACTCCTGCCAGCACTGCAAGGTAGCTGCGGACAGGGGAAGGAATACTAGCACAGCCGTGCCAGTAAACATTCCTGGGGCAGGCTGGCCACAGAAGGCAACTACCTGCACTTGCACAACAACAAGCAGAGACTGCACCACCTCGTGTTTGTTCCTTGATGCTTCTGGTGAGGAGAGGGGCCCGTGCCTGGTTACAAGCCTATCCTATAAACCCTGTCTCCAGAATGCCACACAACCATTAAAGGAGTGCAATCAGATCGTGCACACATCTCCAGGAAAGGAGGGGGTCCAGGAAAGGAGGGGGTCACTCTGCAAGGAAGGCAATGCACAGGATAGTAGGGCATAATAACTGACAGTAAGGGAACCCTATGTCCTAAGCCTGCAGTCCAGTTATCTACACCTTCACGTCCACCTCCGACTGACATATCTGTTACACACTATTCAATGCAAACTACACTTACTCTGGGAAATTAAATAACTCCTACTCAAAACAACCCATAGAAGCAGGAAGAAGATAAGCACAATGACACTGTCATAGTCAGAAACAACAAGCAATTCCACATTTTAGAAATAGTCCACAAGTTCACAGGAAAGACCTGATGCAGTCAGATTTATTTTACCTTTTTATTTCTTTAGGGCCATTTTGTTGTAGTCGTGCACAAAGAGCCAGGAAAAAAAAACATGCTAGCAAGGGCTGCTCGAGAATAAACATTCAGTCATTACTAGAAGGGAAGAGTGCAAGTTCTGCTGATCAAAATCCCTCTGAGGCTAAAGAAAGGCAGCTGGCTTGTTGCATCAAAGTCCAAACCAGTCGGGGACTCCACCTCGTCTGAGGTCACCTTTCTGCCTCTGCTTCTCTCTTTCCATATATTTATTCCTGAAGTCATCAAAAGAGCGAGTTTCTGTGTCTTGTTCTTTCTCTGGAAATAGGTTGGGAAACTGAAAGGTTTGTCCTTGCCCCTAAAGAGAAAACAAATGGTCAGAGAGACATTCCAGCCTTTCTGCAGTAGCTGTGATGCATATACTTACAACGAAAGACCACCCTGAAGTTTCAGCTAGTGCAAAATGGTACCTCAACCTCCCAAGACCTCTTTCCACCCCTCTCCCCAAGATATATATATATCCTTCCACCCCCAAAAAAGCTAACTTTCAGCCTTTCCTCTTTTGTGTGCTAAATAAGACACTGACTTTTTTTTTTTTTTTTTTTCTTTAAAGATGAATGGTCAGGAGATGGACACCTCTTCAAAGACTTTGAACCAGCCCAAAAATGTTGTACAAGTCATACAATAAAAGCAAGATGAGCAAAATAAGTGATTCTGTTAAAGTAACACCACTGGGGAAATACATGGTGGAGCAGGCATTCATTATGTTAACACTCAGGATATGAGTAGTGGTTATAGTTGTTTAGGTCTCAGCTAAGGATAACAGAGAGCAGTCCTAGCAGCTGTTATCATGGGGTGTAATGTGGGAATACAGAATAACAGATATCAGAGGTCTCTTATCAACAGGAATAAAAGACCATAGCGTAAAACAATTACAGTGGGAACAATCTGTCTAATACATCACTAATGAGATTAAAGTGATTACATCTGCATCAGTCATTCTGCCTAACAGACAAGTCATTTTAGTGAAACATCATCATCATCAGATCTATGTCTCCCACTTGGAAAATAAACATTTGCTTGGTCTCTGGTTTTTATCTAACAGCAGGAAACCATTATTCTGTGGAAACGTTCTATCCCATTAACATTACCTACTTACTTTTTAGTGGTGTTTGTCCTAAGAACAACTTCATTAAACCCAGCGGTATCAGTCCTTCCCTTCTGTATGGGACTTAGCATGATAAAACTCGTAACTCTAAAACGACTCTCTGAAATACTCTCAAACATTTCCATACATGAACTTCATTGTCAGGATACTGAGTACAGAAATCTCAACGAAAGCGTTTAATCGCTTCAGATGAAAACAGGTGGGTTTTCAGATCAGCCATCCTTTACATTTGTGCAATAAATATAATCAAACAAGAGGCCCAGTTATGAAGTGGTTCCACAAAGGACATGAAAGGAGCCTTCCACAACACAGCTACCTATACATTTTGGGATCAGAAGTGTGACATAATTAAATCAAAAAAACCTGTCACCATGTCCCTGACCCAGCTGAATGTATGCTATGTTTCATTTAGGCATATACACTCAACCTGGTAATTTACAGGTGTGAAAGAATTTAAACCTCAAGCATACACTTTGGAAAGAAAAAACATCACTTATCCCAGTTGAGCTTATCCAGACTAGAATCTAGGAAATATCAACTCATACCCAGCAATGCTCCGGTTGTTTTTGTAGTACATACTTCTTGGGGGTTTCCTAAAAGCCTGACCATACTACAAAAACAACAAGGGAGCTGCTGTGTACACTGCTCTTTCCTTGACTCTAGGCAGGGTAAGATGAACTGGAACAAATCAAGGTTTTCCTTTCCGTGGTGCACACTCGGGGGTTTCAACTCTTCTGTACCTTTAAATTACCGACGGGTACGCTTAGAATAGTTGTGCTACGACAATTACCGCATCGCTCCCTTCGGAGGCAGAAGCTGGCCTTATCAATGTCCTTGAGCAATCCCAAAGCTGTAGCCTGCTGAAACCCTTCCTGTAGCAGGATCAGCAGCAAGCACCCTTGAGGCCGAGTGCTGCCCAAGATTTTAGCACGCTGAAGCATTTGGAAAAGAATTTGTTTATATGACAAAAAATAACTGTGTTTTAACTGCACTGCGCGCAGGTCGCTCAGCCCCATGGTACCTATAGATCAGACAGGGCCAATTCTAAGGACTCGTCTGCCCTGGAGAGGAAGCCATTTTAGTTAAATAAGTCAGAAAACAATTCAGGCTAACATGGTAGGCATACCACCTACACTGAAAATTTGAGAACTATTTATATTGGTAACAGTGTAGTAAGGGACTGTTCTTGTTATGCAGCACTTCCATTCTGGTATGCTTCCAGGACCAATGCACTTCCCTTATTGGAGAATGAAGGAAAGCTGTCCCTAAAGCATACTAACAACATCCATGGTAATTCACTAAGCATTGCAAAACAGTTATTATTTTAAAGAGGGGAAAAAGAAGAAAAAAAAAGAAAAAAAAAAAAAAGATATGCACAGAGACTGTAGCGAAACCAGACAAACCTTTCAGCTGTTTATCAGAGTGCTCACCGTTCCCATTTCAAGGCTGGTGAAAGTCAAATATTGAGCTGAAAATGTCAATCTGTATCTGGAGTCTTTTAATAAATCAAAATCAGCACAGACAAGTTGGCTCATTCCACCTCTTGCTTTGTGAAGAAATTCTGATTTTGGCTGGCAGCCAGACACGATTCCAAACAGCCAAGACATTACACCCTCAGAACTGAAGGTTGATAAATCTTAAGTAACAATACTATGCAGTAATACTGCACTGTAAGACTCTGGAGTGATGAAAGCTGTATGAAAAATAGCTGTTGTGCATGCTCAGTAGCTAGTTTTCAGAAGAAGTCTGTATCTTGGGTATTTCAAAATTTCAAAAATACAAAAAGGCATCAACTTACATAAAGGACTGTGAGTCTGTCCAGGCATATTTACATTCAGTGCATCTTCCACATAATGCCAGAGGCTACTGAGGTTCAAGCTCATGTGCCACCTTCTCAAAAAAAATGCCTACCAAAGGAATGGAGGGATCATCACTCCTTTACACAGTGCTGCTTTATCTTACACTTTTTCTTTGTGAAAGTTTTCCCTTCTACACAGCAACCATTTGACAACCGTATGACAAATACATGAAATCCTAACTGAAATGAAACAACTAAATTTCTACCAAGTTCACCAGGGCTTTATCTGGTTTGCAAACTGCTAGAACATGAAATGATGGCATATTCAACCAGAAAGCAAAATTTTGGCTGATTCATAAACCTTGCATTTGCAAGCCATTTAACCAAGGTGATCCTTTTAATTACCGAATTATTGAAATTCACATAAACTGAAATAAGTTCTAAAAAGGCTAGGGCTTGGTCCTCCTTTAGAACTTCTACCACCATAATTACCTTAGTTAGAAGCAGAGAGAAAGAGGGAGAAAATACAAACACCTTTCTACCTGACATAGCTGTGCTAAAAGAAAACCCTGTAAAAAAGACACATTGGAAAAAAAAAAAAAAAAAAAAAAAAAAACAACAACCCAAAGCAAAACATTCTGCTTGGATAATTTAGTCTGCCTTGGAACTGGAAGCTGCACTGCCAAGCAGAACTTTTTCACCAATGTGAGGTGATACACTAATACTCTACAATTTGTCAGGCTAAGCTCTACCACTGCATGCTCTTCTTACATTTTACGTGAGCCCTTACAATGTTAAAAAAAAAGAATAAAAAAACCCAAATAAAGCGTATCAGAGAGGTGGTATTGAAACACCTAAAAAATAAGGTCAATGCGATGATCTTACACATCACTATTCTCAATTTAGGGTCTTCCCAGACACCTCTGGTTTTCCTATAAATTCTAGCATTATGTACAAGTGAAATGTGTGATCCAGTGTATAGATAACAGAAATGGGAGCCATTAAACTTCCACAACTGCAGAACTCTAATCCTCACTTCAGCATTGCCCAGATGGAAAACTGATTTATATACAGGGCCTTATGAGGGCTCATTTGTTAAATGCTAACATCCTTCAAGATAAAAAGTGACTTAAGCATCAAACGTGTATTTTCCTCTTAGATTTCAAGCCTTTGCTGTTAGAAGGAGTGAAAACACACCTTGTTCTCTGAGTCTGTAGAGGAGTTACCACAAGGAGGGGTACAAATTGCCTCCGTTCATTTTAATGAGAGGTTAAGTGACCATAATTAGGCCTATGAAGTGAAGTGTTAGCCTTTCTACTGCTAAAGCTCATGTCAGAAAATTGCTGGAAGGATTATCCAGCACAAACTCACTTATACTTCTCTGACCTTTGCATCCCTTGGAAAGTTTAGGAATGGAAGGTCAGCACAGATATTATTGTGTAGGAATGACGCAGCAAACACTGATCATGTAAACAACTGTGAGATCTTCTGATTATTTAGATAATTGAAGCACTTACTACTGTCCTTCAGAATTAGGAGAAAAGTGATGTTTATAGTATCGTTAACTGAAAAAATGTTGGACTCCAAACAGCACGGGATTCGGTCCAGCAGTAGCAGCAAATGCAACTAAGTTTAAATAATCCATTGCATTCGAACAATTCTGCTACTCCTGCAGTGGTAACATCTGATGTTAAAAGGTATGGCAAAACAGCACAGAAAGCAATTTCAAAAAACCTATACAGGAGTGACACAGTGTATCCAAGTCTCCTCGAAATTCAATACATGACAAAAGAAAAGAGCTGTCACATCTGATGTGCAAATGGGTTAATTACTACGAATATACTGGACAATCTGAAACAAAGTTTGAGGAGAAAGCATTTGCAAAAATGTTCCCACAGGTGCCATCATTCATGCAGCTAAATAGGTGTTAGTCCTAATGTTGACAAGGTCAGACTCCTTTTTACAGCCATCTCCATTAGATTTCTCAAAACAGGTTTAATTAAAAATAGGTCTAGGTTCTAGAGACTTGTCTACAGTTGTGCTCCCACGGGTGCTAACACCTGTTGAGCTAAACCAATGAGAACAGCAAAGGAGGAGGAGGGGGTGGTGGTGTTTTTTTTTAATTTCCCTGATGTTGATGCAACTGTAAAGGTTCCCACTGGCTCTTTTTTTTTTTTTTTCTCCAATTATATAACACTAGGATAATTATAACTGTACTGGAGTAAGGAGAAAGGTTGCTGTATTACGTTTACCCATCTACTCTTCAAAGATATATAGCTTTGCTTTTAATTTAAAAAATAAAACAGTGTAAAAAAAAAGTAGCATTTGACACCCAGGGCTGTAAGTCTCTAACTTAAACCTTTCTCACCACATTCCGAAAAGGGAAAAAAGGCAGGCAGGCTCTGGAATGGCAAGATATTGTTGATCCACAGCCTTCTATGATTTGAGGTATTTTTTTAGTGTGAAAATATTATGCTTGGACAGATCACGTATTTGTCCAGTTACAGCCTGAGAATAAAGTAAACAGCTCTGAATCTCCAAGAAATAGTATTTGGAAAAGAAAGGACAACAATTCTTACATGTGGAACAGCTGGGGCACTAATCTGACACCTAAGGGTATGTTGACTATGACTTCATACATCTTCCACCTTTGAGACACTTGCAGTAAGTTAATGGATATGTACGTTGTGCTGGGACACATAAGGTGATGTTTTATGAAGGAGGGAAGCGTAGCTGGTCATGAGAATATACTCAGTTTCATTCAGGTAAACCACAGCACAGCTGCTACCAAGTCACACTGGAAAGAGCAATACTTCCACCTAGTGGGAAATAAAAAGAGCAACCCAAGACCTTCGAAAAACACATCGTTATTTTTCCAGTCATAAGCAGTTTTAACTTGAAACTGGATTAATGAGAGAAAACACAGCTGGTAAAAATGGTGGGAAAGCCCAGCTACTCTGACTCACGGCAGATGCAAACTTAATTCTCATGAAAATAAGGATTTTACAGTGGTTACCAAAGACTTTCCTAAATTAGGCAGATATTAACAATGGACTGCATGGGGCCTGTTACGGCCTGAATCACACCATGAATGAGAATGAAGGCAAAACCTTCAGTTTCAGAAATGACACTGGGTTTCTGGCCTCACCCACTGTTTAAAGCTGGTGTGAACACAGAACTGGGAGCTCATTGTCTGAGACATCAGAGCTAGTGATGAAAAGCAAGAAACAAAAGGAAAAAGGAAAAAAAAAAAAAAAGATAAACCTAAATGTTAAAGGAATTAACAGACACCAACACCAGAAGAAAGGAGAGAAAAGAGAGCAAGAATGAGGTGAAGAGAAAATGCACAGACCAAGCTTCACTGACGAGAGTTTAGTAAATGGTCAGGGTTCCCTCACTTGAGATGAAATACAACACCAAAAGGTGGTTCCCATTCATGGGACAGATGGAAAACATGACATTCTTTAAAAACTTGTGATGATACTACAGCGTAGGGCAACGCAGCAAGGGACACTTGCTGTCTCATGTACCAAGAGTAGTCCTCAGCCACAGTACCACAGGGCTCTGTGCACTGCCCAGCAGACAAACTGAGAGGCTGGAGGAATGACCAGTTACTGCTGTGCGACTGCCTCCAGTATCAAGTTTGGGTAATTCTCCGCTCCACCGCAGAGCTACCCTTAAGGTAATGGCAACTATTCTAGGTTCAGGCATTTTATGTGAAACCAATGCACAAAGGCACTGCCTTAAACGAATGGCTTGCTCCACGGAGCAGCAGCAGTTTGCTCCCCACTCCTTCCCCCTGAGTATCTGTGGGTTGCAGACTACCTCCTTCTCAACTCAGCAGACTGAAGAAACAAGACTGCATTAAACACAGTGAAATAAAATTTGAGAACTGACCACAGTTCACTAAAGATCCTTTTCTGCTTCAATCTTGGGAAATAAGTTTCTAAAAGCAAAGAAGTCACTAGTAAGGGGCTGTGACAATGGAAAGTGCCTGCAATTACCTACTAAAGAACAATACTCAGAGAAAGCAATTGGAAGATACAACACCACTCCTGGCATTCCTCTTAATAAATCATTCATCTCTCACAGATGAAAACCTAGCACAGACGATCCAGGAGGGAGAATTTGCCCACGAAAAGAAAGACTCTTCCTTGAAAAAGGAATGTGTTTTTTTAGCCACCATAATGCAAAACCATTAAGGAGATGAGGTTGCCATTACCTTCAGCACAGTAAATCAAAGTTAGTGCTCATCTAAATACAACTCTGTTACTTTCTATCAACATTGTACTTTATGGTGTTCTTTTAAAAGTAAGGGCTGTCTAGAAAAAAACACTCTCCTCACTTTTCTTTCCACTCCCCTTGCCAGAAGGCGCTTAGAGAAAAACTTCTAAGCACATTTAAACTTTGAAAAATAAAATAAAAAAAATCAGATTTCTCATTGTCTGTGTCTCTTTAGTTTGACCCCAAGTCCATATGAAGTCTTAGCAGTCTATAAGATCACAGAGTGTTCCCCCCACACTGAATCCTTGTCCCAGGATGGAGCAACACTGAGGTTGTGTTGCCAACAGCAATTTTGAGCTTATGGTTTTACAACCATAAATAGCACTCCTTTAATGTAATTTTGGTATGTGAAGGGGTTTTCTGTCACTGGTTGCATTTCTTTTTTAGATAGAGACAGGTAAGCCCAAGAAGTCTAAACTATAATATGCTTCTGTTATGAAAGAAACTCATAAGAACATGAAGCTCCTTTTCCACTGGGCAACCAACATACGTTTCAGAACCCGGTTTAGCCACAAAGCACGCTTGTTAGACATGACTAAAAGCTCTCTAAGGAATATGCCTTAGTCTTCTCTGAAATCCAAAAAGCTTTAATAAGAAGTTCCCTACCCTTACAATATATTCTTTCACTTACTGGACATTTCAGCAATCAACCACACAAGCCCTGAACCTTCCAGCACAGAGTACAGGGTCACCATGAAACTCACTGGCAAAGCAGCACCATATGACATCAGACCATAACTCACATACAGACCTCAAACAAACAGGGGACTTGAAAATTAACCATTTGTTTGAATTTGACTTTTAGACTAAGTCATTTAAATCTCTTTATACATTCTGGAACATACGAAAGAAAAACTCATTATTGGAGGACTGGCAGAAATATTCAGCCAACCAGACAATTCACTGAACATTACTTCTAGCTTGGCTGGTTAACAGTTCCTTCTTCTTTCCCCACAAGCATCCACGTTAACTCACCAGCTGTACATAGGCAACCTTGTAATCCGGCTTCTTCACTCGCTGATTCCTGTGATTCCTCTTGTTGTTTGCACCTGCAGAAACGAAGAGTCCCACCTTTTACTTCCCAGGACTTCCAAGTTCCCCAAAACAAAGCCAGGCTGAAGGGGACACTTCACTAGTTCTGATTTGTTGTCAAGAGGAATACTCTTTCTTCAGAACCAGCACAGCAACACAAGTACTAAAATGTACTGAAATTGGTAAAACACTACTCTCCTCGTTTACAAATAAGGAACTGGGGATTATCACTCAGGATGCAGACAGCCACTGTGCTTTCACATCACACACAAAGTCCACAAGGAGATAAATCTCTTGAACAAGGGGCCAGGAGTGATAAACTGTCCTCCCAACATCAACAGCTTCAGGAAGCCAAGGAGGAAATGACCACTAAACAGCTTCAAACTTGTTAATTTCTACTACCCAGCTAATGAGCTGGATCTACTGTTTATACATCAGGAAATTAGCCTCCACATCCAAAAAAAACCACAAAAAAGCACCTCAACCTTCTGCAAGTATGCTGGTCACAACTGAGTGGGAAGTTCAATCTATTCCCTGCATGTTAGGGAGACATTAAAGCTCTCAAATTAAGACACACAAACTCCTCTTCCTCTTTTATCCCCAAATATAGGGATACTGCTATCACTTCCACTAGCAGCGGGGGACGAAAAGGTTTTAAGGACAAGCATGAGTATTTTTTCAGTGCTGTTTGGAACTCCATGTGTTTGGTATTTAGGACTTCATTTAATTCTGTTTTTTACATAGGCATACTGCAGATTATCTTTCCATTTTCTTTTTATTCTTTTCTATGTTCTGAGTTCTACGACCTTATTTTTAAGCTTTTTCTTATATTCTCCATTTTGCACTATTACAGCTCTTTTTTTCCTATCCCTTTTTGAAAATCATCCTTACTCTTAACCATTATAAACACATCAATCAATTCCTCTGCTAGAGTCACTGCATGAAAAAAGAAAAACTCAGCCATCAAAGACGTCCTAACCAATGAGTTGCTCTCCATTTGACTAATTTACCTTTCTGATCATCAGGCAGTGCATAACATGATTATACTTTGCACTGCATCCAAACTGCAGTCAGAGAAGCTCTGGGGAAGGAAATATTCATATGTAAATTTATATAATGTCATTCATATGACATTATATAAATTTAGTTTATTTCAGTCAGAGATGGGACCCTCTGCTACAAGTCACAGTTCAGCATAACTTAAACCAGGAACGTTTTTTCTTTTTCTCTTGGGTCGGTTTTATGTTGGGTTTTTGGTGTGGGTGGCACAGGAGAGAAACACTATGAGTGTAAGCATACAAGCCTGTAGCAGAAATGTGGTAATGACAGGTGATGAAATATAGAAAGTTTATCAAGATGTTTTACTGACATTATCTACAGGTCTAACAGAATACTTTTCTTTGCTTTACCAACTTTGTCTTTTGCTAGACCATAACACCTCCTCAGCGTGCATGCCAGGTAATCTCAACTCATATTTTTTTTCAAAAAAGGCTATGGTTGAAATTAAGTTTAATTACTAATTGCATTAAAACACATGAAGCAGTTCCTTCTGAAGTGAGACACCCATTAGGCTTCAGGGAGAAATAGTACCAACTACAAAAGCATACAGCACAAGCTAGACAACTGTCAAGATGATACGGCTTTTTAAATTCAGATTTTTCTCTTTAAAACTAAAGTCGTAATCAAATCGAAGTGGTGCATTTGAAGGGACAGATAAACAACTAAGGTGATAGACATCATCAGCTAAGCACCTGGAACCAAAGGTTGTTGAAATCCAGTGGACCTTTTGGTAGGAAAAGCCTATTCTGGCTGCGCAGGGATGCTGTATTCATCCCTTTGGATTACTCAACAGCACTTACCATGCTGTATCCTCGTCCTCACAGCAGCTACCGGCACATTGTATATTTTTTCAAGGTAATTCTTGATATCCAGTTTCGTCATCCTAGGCGATGCAAAAATATTTTGGGGAAAGACAGAAGGAAAAGTATAAATATTTAAATAATAGAAGAAGCAGAGCCAGAGTATTTATAGACTGGTTGATACTTTGGAAGAAATACGTCTTCTTCTTTTAACCAAGGCAGCTTTAATGCACAGAAGTATAAAGTCAACATAGATCACACACTGCTACAGCAATTCATTATCCATAAACTGCAACAATGACCAATATTTTATCCTCTTTAGCCTCAACAATCAAAACATGTGTTCAGCGAGAGTGAGGAGGCTTTCTCACTGCCTGAGCCAAAAACTCTTTCTAACCATCTGAATAGCAGTTTTGAATCTTTCCGGGGCCTGCCACAGGCTTGTGGGCTTTAGTGTGTGCAACCAGCCGCGTCAGGCCGAGAGTCCTGACAAACACCTGGGCATCACCTTTGCCTCCTCTGGATCACCCTCCTCAGGGCTTCCCGAGCCCGTCCCTGCGAAGGCTGAGCCTCTCGAGCGCTCGGGAAGAGGAGCCCGGCAAACCTCGTAGTTAAACGGGTGCCCTCGCCGCCCTCCAAAGGGCCCTCCCCGGGGCTGAAGCCCCGTCCCCGCGCCCGGAGGGCGCTACGTGGCACTCGGGCCTTCCCGCCCCTCAGCTGGGCTGCAGCTCGGGCGGCGGGGGGGGGGGGGGGGGGGGGGGGGGGTTGTGCCCCGCGGTGCCCCGTCCCCCCACTCACTCCATGGAGACGCGGAACTGGACGGTGTCCTCGGGCTGCGGCACGCCGGGCCGCACCGCCAGCATGAAGAAGTTGGGCCGGAAGATCCGCAGCTGCGGGCCGCCCAGCTGGAACAGCGGGTACCTGCGGGGAGACCACGACGTTGAACTGACTGACCGGCACCGGCACCCCCACATCCCCCGCCGCCGCCGCCGCCCCCTCCCCAGCCGTCCCGCCCGGCCCCCCCGCCGCGGCCCTGCCCGCTCACACGGTCCGCCGGGCGCCCGCCGCCATGGCCGAGGCGCCGTGCGGTGACAGAGCGGCCCCCGGCGGGGCGGCGCGGGCCGCTCTCGCCCCCTGCTGGAGCGGAGGAGCGCGGCAGCGCAGGGCGGCGGGGTCGGACCCCTCAGTTCCTCGGATCCTCGCAGTTCCCCCCACCAAAACCGCAGTTTCCCGCCCCAAAACCACAGCCCGCCGCCCCGGGGTGGATGCTGCCTCGGGGCGGGGGAGGGACGGTCCTCCAGGGGAGCCGCAAGGCCGTTGGAGGCGGGGGAAGCGCCTGCAAAATGGCGCCTCTGGGGTTTGGCAGTGCGGGCTGCGTTTCCCGCCGTCTCTTCCCCCCGGTTGCGGGAGGGAGGTGACTCTTCTCCTCCTCCTCCTTCACTCTGCCCTGGTGAGACCTCAGCTCGGGGGTCCCCAGCACCCCACAGCTGTGGGCCCATGGCAGCGGGGCAAGAGGAGGCCACCAAAACGGTGGGAGGACGGGGACACCTCCGCTGTGGGGAGCGGCCGAGGGGGCTGGGGGTGTTCAGCCTGGAGAAGAGAAGGCTCCGGGGAGACTTGAGAGAGGCCTTTCCTTATATAAAGGGGGCTTATAAGAAAGACAGAGCCTTTATAACACCACCTGTTGTGACAGGACAAGGGGCAACAGTTTTAAACTGAAAGAGGGTAGGTTTAGATTAAGGAAGATAAGAAATTTTTCACGATGAGGGTGGTGGGACTCAGGCACTGGTTGCCCAGGGAAGCTGTGGATGCCCCTTCCCTGCGAGTGCTCAAGGTCTGGTCTGATGAGGCTTTGAGCAACCTGATCTAGTGAAAAAACATCCCAGGGGTTTGACTAGGTGACCTTTGAAGGTCCCTTCCCGCCTAAACCACTCTTACAAATCCGTGAGATGCTGCAGCACGTGCTAACAGAGAGCCAGAGCATGAATGTAAGCACCAGAAACAGCCGGGAGTTTGGAAACATGGGGGAGAACCACCGTCGCCGGTGGGCTTCCCTCCAACAGGGCCTGTCAAGGGTTGGCAAAGACAAGAGGCCCTACAGAATAGCTCACATCCCAAATGTAGTAACAGCCATTTGCGTTTTGACATCTACACTGAATTAACCAAGTAATTCACACTTCAGCATTGGGCTTTAATGTTACATGTAGATTAACTGCCTCAATAAACATTTGAATGTAATATTTGAATGAATCACTTTCCATATTGCACTGTGACTTGTCTGCATTTAAGAAACGCTGTGTGCGGAAAATTACCACTTCTGTGGATTTGTTTCTTTATTCCCAATTCCTTGATTCCTTTCATCACTCAAACTTTCAAGTTAATTTCAGCTACATTTGGCAACCAGATTATGAGCTCCCCTGGAACAGTCAGCTTTTGTTATCTGCCTGTATAGTGGCTATAAAACAGGACCCAATCCTGGGTTTTCGCTGATGATATTGAGCCTCATTCCCAGTTGTAGAGCTGGATCTAATGATATTAAATAAGGATTAGGACCAACTCCCAAACCCTTGCAAAATGGGATGCCATTAAATAAAATATGAAACACCATTCCAGAGGGCTGTCACTGGAGTAGGTACTGCTCGTGCTTTATTTACAAAATCCAGAGATTTGTACACAGCAATCTACAGGACAGCATAGGGCTGGTATCAGAAGGAAAAAGGACAGGCTCAGCAGGAATTGAAGATGCCAGCAAGGAGTCATCTCAGTTCCATAGGGAACTTGCTTCCTTTTGACCGAGGAAGCCGCCAGACCCCTCCAGGAAGAAAAAGAAGAAAAGCAGCAGCAATAGCCAACTGAGGCTGATGTTGCGATTTTTGTGATCGTTGAGGCGTGGGAACACAAGTGATTGGTGAAGGAAGAGAGAGGAGACCAGCAGGGTTTCAGCCTGCCGCTAAGGGCCATCCTGCCTGGTTCTTTACTTCCAGCGCCCGCCAACCTTGCCCTTGGCTCCTGCCTTCTTGCTGCTACAATACAAAAGGAAAGAAAAACATGTCAGCACGGTGGAGGCGGTGGGGCTCTGTGGCCACTGCGCATTTCAGACTCTCAGATTAGGTTCGAGCTGTTTTCATTTCTCACGTGTTGGGCACGCCTGCCATAGAGCACATACTAAGAAAAATATTGTCAATACTGTGGAAAGAGATTCCTCCTCAGGCTCCTCGTGAAAGGCCAGGATGTGCATGTCTGAAAGAGGTGGACCCTTCTAGATTCCTGCATTATCAGGACAGAAGTCAGGGTGGTCTCAAAACTAAATGACAGGCCTATCCAGCCACAGATTTGATGTTTCCTGAATTCAAATCTGCTATGATCTGGATTTTAGGATTTAGAGACGATTCTGGAGAAAATTTCCTCATTATCATGGAGCTCTGGTCAAATTCCCCAGATGCTCTAGTCATCTAGTAGTGGAGACAAGAAGCTGAGCAATAATTTAAATACAACTAAGAATTGCTTTGCTCTAGCAAAGGCAGAGTGGCTTCTTCCTTATATCACGAGAGCAGGAGCCTCCAAAAGAGTCCAAACAACCTTTTAGGCCTCCCCTCATGTCAGTATCCCCATCCTGCTCGTGGTGTGTGTGGGAGCAGTCCGGCTAAATTCCGCACGCAAAGCACCCGAGGCAAACTCTCCAAATAGTATCTTCTTGCATACAGAAGGGCAAGCCAACATGCGAGCCACTTACCTTCTGACTGAGAAGCAGGCATGCCTGGAGTCAGAGAGGGGCCAGGCGTGAAGTTAGTTGAGTTAGATTCTGCACCGGCTCCCGTAGGCAGCACCTTGGCTTTTGGGGCTCGGTACAGCACCAAACCTTTCCGTCTCACACATATGATGATGAGGCTGCTTCTTGAACCAAAGTACATGCAAACTGAGGGCAGCTCTTTGACACGGCAGAGCATGGGGTTGGGGGCCACCAGAAGGTGGTAGGGCCTTGATATCAACAGAGAGGCCTTCTTCAGAGCCACAGGTTCCTCCACGGAGCAGAAAAAAATGTAGACGACACATCCAGGGGAGTTTTTTGTGGTGCTGCCCCATGGATTGGTTCAAGAGCACTAGCCATATTTACGGAAGGGTGTAGCACAGTGACACAGACATACGCATAGTGGATACTTTACCTTTTGACCAAGTTAGACTTGGTCTATTAGAAAAATTGACCTTTTACATGAGAAACAGCAGAGTATCTTCTGCTTATCTGAAATTCATCTCGGTGTCTCTTTTGCCAGCCTTTATGCAGGTTCAAAAACCAGTATAGGAACTGAGTAGCTCCTCAAATGAAGGCAGAGTGCTTTCACCTCCACAAGCGCATGTGATGTTTGATGTTATGCCTAACCTTTAGAGTGTGCTTAAGGAGACTTATTAAATCTGAAGCAAGAGGATCACTTGATCCTTGTATAACACTTTAACAGGCATTGCTTTGGAATGGTACAGTCTAGTGTGGATGGAAATCTAAGTACACAGAAATCTCATGAGCTGTGGGCTTCTCAATGCAACCTTTTCAAATGATGTCCTGAGAGACTATCATGTCTTTTGGGGGAGCAAGCATGCAGTAATGGTACAGCCTGTTGTGGGTGGTGTAGTAGTGCCTCTCAAAAGAGCAGCAACACCCAGGCAAACCATGGCATCCGTCTGCAGCTGCACATTCTGCTGAGGTTTTTCAGCCTACAGCTCTGTACAGAAAATACCACGGGAAGGTCAAGCCTTATGTCTGGCATCTACAGACAACTGAGCCCCCAGTGTTACATTCATCTGATAAGGGAGGGTGGCCTGGGGAAGTGGGCAGGTAGAGTGTCTGGTCACTGCTATCATCCAAGGATGTCACCAAGGACCACCACTTCATTCCTGGCGTGGCTTTGCTAAGAAGATACAGAAGCACAGTGAAGACCAGATCCCACCCCTGCAGAGCTCTCCTCCCTTGCTTCCCTCCAGTTTCTTCTCCGTGTCTGTTAGTTTTCTACATGCCCTACACCCCAAGCTTTGTCTAGCCCTGGTCTCTCATAAGTTCGCTGTAAACACCTCGAATAGTTAAAGATATAAGACTGAAAATACCTAATGAAATAGAAGTCTTGTGGGGAAGGGAAGTGGGGGAGGGATGAGTGAAAAGAGCTCACAACAGTAATCCCATGATGTTAGTCTTGTTACACACCATTCCTTATAATCTTAGCAACCACTTGTTTACCCTTCATAAACAAGGGTTGTATTCCCTCAAGTATTCAAAGCACCTCAGTTAGGTGATTGAAAACCCCAGCAATAAGCAGATGGAAATTTTGCAGACATGGTGTGAAAACACATGATTTTTTTCTTGTTAGCTGTTACATTCACTTCAGTTTCCCCTTCATTTTCTCAATGTGAGGCAGGATGGGAGTTGCCTTTCCATCTCTAACCTCATTTCATTGCAACAAGAAAATGTCGGTGTTGAGGCTGAAGTGGCTACTTTGAACACTGAGAAGATATCCCCAAGCCAGGAGCTGGGAAGGGGATATGGGTACTTACTGCTTCTGAGCCTGATCGATCCGGTTCCTGAAGGTGACAATCTGCAAACAACATACATGACCAGGGTTTTTAGAGATACAGAAACCTTGTTCCCTCAGAGAGAGGGGAGTTTTACCTGCTGAAGTGCTGGAAACATGTGCCTATGGTAGGGATGAATACTTCCTTTGAAATAAAAGCTCACCCTTGCTTGAAGGAGAGAAATGTTGCTCCTCGGCAATGAATCTGCAAGCCAATTTCACATGTCAAGGGACAGAAGAGCTAGAATTCTATAACCCTTATTAGAAGAGTTCACGTGTACACAAATTAATCTAGGAACTCGCAGGTCAAACTGCAGGCAAGTGAACCAGAGTGAGTGTCACCCTGGCCAGCTGGAAAGCTCTTGGATGGCTCCATCACCTGTATATGTCAACCTCATCTTCTCACTCTTCCCCTACTCCTATACATTAGGAAGTATGTAAGCTCAGAGAACTTCAGTGGTCTTCAGATGGGGACCTCAAGAGTGGGAGATGGCTGTCACGTTCTGCTGGAGTATCTTTGTTGGCTGGGAGAGCAAGGGGTGAAGAGCTTGCAGCAGTCACTACCTTCCCAGCCACTCATCGAATAAGGCAAGTTTTAAAGACACTGAAGAAGAAAATATTCAAGGAGTGCTTTAAAAACC